TCCTTTTCTGTAAAATAGTGATAATGGTACTTCTCTTCTGGAAATACATTAAGGTCCACAGGTGAAAGTTACCTTAAGATTTATTTTGATTTATTGGTTTTCCTTGTCCTCAGTGCCTAACAGTCAAAACCAACTTTGTTTTGGATGTCTAGCATTGGATTACATCACTTTGGCCAGTTTACCAAACTCATTATGTTTATCTCTTGGAAAATCATCCTTTGTTTTGTTCACAAAGCTAGTACTCAAATTCATGGAGCACTGCAAAGGGAAGGATGCTTTTGGAGGAGGGGACTGTCAGAAAGCACATAAGGATGAATAGTCTTGGACCACATGTGCAATTCTTACTAAAGCTGGTGAGAACTGCTCTAATGTGTAAGTTTAATATTAACCCTAGGAAGAGCTCTCTTTTCCAGGTGTCAGCCTACAGGTCAGGTTTGAGCCTGTCCCAGCAGGTGAGTACAGTCCTGATGTCAGTGCTTGCAGGAGGAATCTGTTCTTTGTGTGTTTCTGGGCTGGAGTCTGCTGGTGCAGTTCCTGAGGCTCTGCCTGCTGCTCTCAAACAAGGGGCTGACTCAGCTGACTGGGCTTTTGGAAGGACTCATAACCCCAGGCAGCTCTGCAACAGTGCCCTGCATGTTTTACAGATAGATTGGAAATCTATTATTGCTCAGAGATACAGTGGAGGGGGGAGTTAGTCTCAAGCAATAAGATGAGACATTTTTTTTCTCTGAAATTAATTGGTCTCTTAGGAGAGGCAATGACAGGAGTATTCTGACATGTGCCTGAAGATCAAGGCACTTGTACTTCCTTCAGGCTTTTCCTTTCTGGAGCTTTGATGTTCACCTACATCAATCCTTTTAACTTTAGTGGTGCTGCTGTCTTTCTTCTGATTTGCTGGACTCGGTTTATTTTTTATCCTCTTTTAAGACACAGCCACTTAATGAGATACTCGAAGTCACCTAGTCATTCCTATAAGTTAATCTTGATGCTTCTCTGCTCATTCAAGTTTGTGACTAGGGGTATGTGTCCCACTCTGGGGTTTTTCTGGAGGGGCTAACATCTTGCTGCTTTTGCTGCTCAGACTAATTTTTCTGAGTCCTATGTAGAGTTATTTAGACCTCCTCAGATGCTGTTGGTTCACATCCTGAGCTTTGTGTTCTTGCACAATTACCTTTAATTTCTTTAAACAGTTGTCTCCTGTTTTGTGGAGTTGGTGCTTGGACTGCAGAGCTGCTGATGGAGATCAGACCTTGGCAGCTGCAGTTCAGGCTCCTGCTTACCTGGGGGTCACTCCTCTCTCCTCAGCAGAGCAGCTCTGGGCAGTCCATGTACTGCAGGACCCAAACAGCCCTCCTGGGGTCCAGGTTCTTGGCAGGCTGTGTGCACACTGCTGTGGAGAGCTCACAGAGGCAGACAGACTGAAATAAATGGTTGGAATTGGTAAACCGTTCTGAAGGATTGGGATTTTTAGAAAAATACATGATTGAAGAATTTCTGACCATCTCAGTTGCTAACACTGTCCACCCAGGCTTTGTGGGAACTCAAGAGGAAGATGTCATGTGTTTCAATTTAAATTTTGTACCATAGTGGTCTGCAGGCTAAATATACTCTATTGAGTATCCTTTCAGACAGTTCATATCCCAGAAACTAAAGTAGTAAACTATATATAGTCTCTGACATTACAAACCAGGTTTGTTTTCACCTTCTCCGTGGCTGAATTGAGATAGCAGGAGCTAACAGGTCCTCCTGCTGTTGTCTTCTATATTTGTGGCTCACCTTTCACTCTCTCATTTGTGTCCTTGTTTTGTTGTTTAGGCTTGAGCAGCCCATGTGCTTTGTGGCTCACCTATTTTAGGCATACTTCTGATTTCAGGTCCTGAATGCTTCCCTTCAGAGACCTGATTCCTTCCAGCACTGTCATTGCACGATAGATACAGTGTGGGGCTGGACAGAGTTGAAAAAAAATGTCCTTTTTCTATCAATAGCTCTGTTCTGGATGTTTTCTTGGTGGGTTCCTGTTCCCAGTTTCAGCTGAAATCCCCAGTGTGGGAAGCTTCAGGGTTCTGGTTAATTCTCAGCACCCCTTTAGGAATCAGCACAGCTTAATTTGCATCTTCCTTAACCTGTCTTGCTACAAAAAGAAAATAGTTTGCTACAGATTTCATGACTGACTGACCTGCTTGTTTCTGGGTTTGCTTTATGCAAAATTGTCAGGTTTAGGTCCAGAAAACTTCGGCACAGGCTACCAAATGGCTGTGGGTCATCCCACCGTGTGAGGCAATTGTCACCATGGGCAGCAGGGATGGCTTGGCTTGGCAAGCAGCTGCCAGTCATTGCTGTGGGACACTGAACTGCTTTTGGGGCACTTTTATCTGTTTTATGGTCAGTGCAGAATCCACTCTTCAGTTTATGCAAACTTTGTCAGAATTTGTGGTGGAACAAGAACATGAGACCCCTATATTTCACCATTTTCAGGATATTATGCAGGGACTTTTGCCAGCTGTAATTTGCTTACCTCTCTGCAGAACATGGCAGCAGTATTTTCTAGCATCCAGCCCTCTGTTTTAACTCCTCTCCTAATTTCTTGCACTGAGGAGATCTTGATGCACTGTTACTGGATTTCTGGCTGGCACTGCCCTGCTACCCATTAGTGACAAGTGCTCTTGGTATCAGCTAATATGAAATCCAAACCATTTATATCCTGGATCTTTTATCAGCTCTGTTATTTGCTTGCTTTCCTCTGAGTGATTTTGGCTTTGTGGTGCCAGGCCTTGGGGCTGTTTTTGTGGTCCAGCACTGATAATCAGTGTGTCTGTTTACACTACAGCTGTCTCTGCAATGCAGCTGGAGATTAATTTGTCACTGATCTAACAGCAGAATTCCAATCAATGATTTATTTGTTTTAATTCAGGAGCCTCTTATGAGTGCAGAGAAATGTCTGTGTGGTTGAGGAAAATGAATGCTCTGGGGTCTGTTGACTGCTGATTTAAGGTGGCGAGGTGGTTCAGAAGCAAAACTTCCTGAGTCCTGATAGAAGCTCTGCAGAGAAGCACTGGGGGGTACTTGCTGTTTTGGGAGTGGAAATGGCTGTACCAAATGTATTCTGTTCTTACTGGATATCTGTGCTGGGATACTAGTCCTTGATGGACAGATGGATCACTCTGCTTAATCATACCACTGGAGCCCTAATTCAAGGCTTCTAATTCACACCCAACTTTTTAGAGAGATAAAGTTAAAAAATTACCTTCTCATTCCCTGCTCTGAAAAACTTGATTCCTGTTGTTAGTTGCTTTCTACAATTCCACTGGCATGTGGTATAATGTTTCTTTAGGGAAGCTTTTCTGTAGATCACATTCTTTTTTTTGTTTCCTGTATACTTCTCCCAGCCTGATAACAACTTTTGTAAGTTTAGCTGGAGATGTTTTTCACAGCTGAGATGGATGCAGCAATTTCTCTGCTTTTTGCCAGACATTGAAACATTCACCTAAAGGACAGCAAGTGGCTTTTATGTGAGCTTTGATTACTCAGAAGAGTTTGCAAAACCACTGCTTTTTGTAAACCAGTTCTTTTATTCTGAATCTTTTCAAAGCAGTTTGTGTCAAGACTGATGGTTATTAAACCTGAACTGATGGTTATTTGTGAATGTATTTGTGATGGTATTTGTGAATCATGTCAAAGCAAAGTGTCAGAGATCTAAATCAGCAGGTGAATATAGCACATAACAGACTTCATTATAGGGCAGATAAATTCTAAAATTAATGATCTAAAATTTTGTTAACGTGGTTTGGGTTTTAGTGAGAAATACCAATGTCAAAAAGTTCCTAAAAAATCCCCCCACTGTTAAATTCCTGTAAAGAGCATTATCAGCAAGGAGCAGCGAGTACAGTGTGTTGTACCACAGCTGGGGGCTGTCAGGTGGGAACGTGGGTGAGAGAAACAAATCAGGGACTGAGACCCAGCTTCCACAAGGCCTGACATGATGGCAGGAACTGCTTCTGTAAACTCCACCTGGGAGGAGTTTCTGAGAGTGTGGCAGTAGCCAAGGGATGCTGAGTCCAGTTGGCTGGTGCTGGAGGCTGCCTCTTGCAAGGCTGCCTGTGAACACTTCTGTCTCTTAATTCTGGTGCAATCCAGCATGATTTGAGTGTGTTTTACCTGTCAAACACCTAAACCACTGCACTGTAAAATTGTGCTCTAGGTGCTCATACCTCAGTCAGGATCCATGAAGGGGGGCTGGAGCACAGAGGTCTTGCCTTTCAACCTTGGGAATGTAAGTGGAGGAGCAAAGAAAATAGCATGATGTATTCTTACAACAATTGTCAGTCATGGTGGTGAGAAAGGTGAAGGTGGAAATGATAGTTACAAGTTAACAAGATAGTACAATTCTGAGTGTGCATTTTTGTTGTATCTTTTCAGACTTGAAATTAAAAAGATCTTCTGAAATAGGAAGGGAACAGAAATGCAGCAAGTGCAGTTAGGGGATTTGCATCTTCTCAAACAAAAGCAAAGTACAGGCTTTTCTGAGGGATTTGATTTGAAGCCACTCAAATTTCAAGTCAGCAAGAAAAATTGTGCTGGTTTTAATGTGTTTTGGAGCAAACTCTGGATTATGTAAGTTTGTTTTTCAGAAAAGTTGACTGTCTAGAAATAACTCTTATGCAACAGGTCTGTTCCCTGTGTGTGTATCCTAAGAGCCCTATCTCATCACTTCAGTGAGGAGAATTTGCTTTTCCTGGTTTTATTCCTGTTGGCATTCCTGCACAGCCAGGGCCACTCTCCTGTTGTGGCAGATCCCCACTGACACAGAATTACTTGTACCTGAGCAAACTGCCATTGACACAAGAGCTTTTGGCAGGTGTCAAGAGGGCCTCAGGGCTCTCTGCTGAGCTCCCTGTGGTACTGAGAGAGCATCTTAAACGTGAGAGGCTTCTTGAATCTGAGAGAAGCTTTTGTGGCTGACCCTTAAAATCAGCAGGCTTTATGAGGAACTGACTACATTAGATATAAACCCACTGAAATTCAGGGGAAGCAGGAACAACATGACTTCTTTGTTCAGTTTCCAGAGGAGAGGTCTTTGTTGGAGGGTGTGGAGGAGTGGGAGGGTGAATCCTTACCACCACACTGAGGAAACATTCTCAGTTAGCACTCCCCTGCTCCAAGTTAGTTAAATAGTTTAATAGCTGCTGTAAAAGAAAGTAAATTGAAAGGATGAAAATTTCAAGTAAAAAGCTTTTAAATGTAGTTTCTATGAGTAACAGACTTGGTGGTGAGGAATAAGCTCTGGGGTCAAGTGAGTGAATGTGGATAGACAGCAGGTGCCCTGTTGGCATCCTGAGAGGCAGAGTAACCTGCTGCAAGGACTGTGGGCAAATGGTAAACAGTGTTATCTAGAAATCTCATCACTTTGATGTAAATGAAATGTCATAATTGATCTGTTCAGCTCTCTGCTGTCAGCTGCCTGAGTGAGATGCATTACAATAGTGCACATGATATCAGGCTCAGTAACCTATCCTTAGCCCTGCTGCTGCCTGGAGACATCCTTAGATTCAGTTGTCTGGAAAATAATGAAATGGAAGTGGGGAAGGAAGTCAGGACTTGCAAGGGTATTTCCTAATTGACCGTGTTAGCATTTTTCTCTCATTAAAGACATGGAAACCCCAAGTTTCCACAGTGATTGTTGGGTGTACCTGGCACCAGAGGTATGTTGTGACAGTGGCAATATTGAGTTGTCCTTGCCGGGGTCACTTGGGTGTACCAACAGTGTTCCATAGATCCTTTTACTGGGCAGGTGGATTTCAACCAGCAGGGCATGAGTGATGCATTAACTGTGGGGTTCTTAGGTTCTAAAGCAGGTGTGGTCCAGTTCCCAGAGTGATCTGGTCCCAGCAGGAAAGCTAGGTGGATTTATCCAGGCTGTATGGCACATCTTGCCTTTGGAAGTTATTCCTCTGAATTAGAGCCAATATCTCTGTTGTGTTTGCTGTTGTTAGAATTGGTCTGTTGCTGCAGCATTACCCTGTGGACATAATAAAATCACCTTTTGTGCTGTTCATGAGAAACTAGGTTTAGTATTTCAAAAATTTAGGTACCCTAAAAAGGTTACCATTTAATTTGATGGAGAGAAAACTAGGAAATGTATGTTAATGAGCTGCAGCAATTAGATGTAGATTAAGTAGATTTCCATTATAACCTGAAAAAGCTGACATCTGGTTTCTAAATATGTAAAAAATATTTGTAAAAAAATTTACTTTTTTTTTCTTGCCTGAGCAGTGTTTATCAGATGTAGCCAGACTGCTTTGAGCTTATTTGCTTTGGTTTTTCCGTTTGTAATCTCCTGATGTTTTGCCACATTGCATTCTCCATCTCCTTGGAACTCCATTGCACTGCAAACTTTTCCCAAAGCCTTTAAGTTCTATATTTAGCTTTGGCTTTTTATAGGCCATATAAAAAGTTATTTTTTCATTTTCTTATGTATTGTCAGCCATCTCCAGTTTTACAATGTTGTTGGAAGCAATGCAACAATCTAATGAGATGATCTGTTTGAGCAGCTGGTTTTAACCTCTGTGACATTTCTCATTTGGAGTATAAGTCTCTGGTTTCACTTCAGCACATGGTGTAGATTTTAATATTTTGTTTTCTATTCACTCTGTTATTGAGGATTTTTTCCTTCCTTTGGGTCAGACCTCGCAAGGAGGAATTGTAAACTAAACTGCCATGTGATAGATTTTCTGTGTTGAATCTGAATTTTTCTCTTGTTTTCTGACATCTCTCTCTCACAGCTGGGAGTGTGTGAGAGGTGTGAGCCAAAGAGGAATAAACTCTTCTCCCCCTTGAGAATAGAATTCTCTTTGGCATCACTGGTTCAAGGTCACTTGTAGCTGTGTTTCTCCAGGATGCATGTTCCTTTTCTCTGCATTCCTGAGATACCTGATACCTTGGAGGTGTTTTAAAGGGATCAGGAAAATTCATTTCAGTCCAGCAGACAGAGGAATCCTGCACTCTCCAGATCCCAGTGCTCATTTTTTGTTACCTGGAAGAAATTGGAGACCAATTGTCATCAGAAAGTGTGTTCAAGTTATGTCCAGACAATGTTGGAGTCTTGTGGGTCACCAGTTTTGGCAATGGCAGCAGGGGTGACTGGACATGACTGTGCTCTCTGCAGGAGTGCTGCAGCATCCCCTGGTATCTGTTGTTCCTACAGCACTCTGTAAATTTGGGGGCTGAAGATGAAGCACCCTGTGTTGTGGTATCTAAATGCAAAATGTCCTTGTAAGCAACAGCACCTCACAAAGCAAAAGTGACTTTGAGAGGCTGTGGCACTTGTCACAACAGCTGTGCTTTTTGTGGCGTCAGGCATTTTAGGATTTTTCCCTTATTTTTTGGTAACTGTTGAAAGACTTGGGACTAGCAATGGAAATAAATACTCTCTGCAGGCTGCTCAAGCATGATCTGAACACTGGGCACTGAACCAATGTTCTGAACAATTGTCTGCTTTTGTAATTCAAAGCAAAAGGAATAAAAGGGGTTTTGCCAGTATTTGAGCATATTATCATCCTGAAGGCAAGACAAGCTATTAGACTTGCCAGAGCCATTTTTTATGGTTGTGTGTTTGTCAGCAGTGCAAAAGGGGAGGGAGTGGAGGAGAAAATGGAAAGAATAAAGAATAGCTGACCTTAACTTTGTTACACATGTTTAAAACTTTTTTACTTTGGTGCAAATGAGGTTTCCCTCCATATCCTTCATCCCAGCTGTAACTTTGCAGTTGTTTATGGATGGACAGTTTGATGTAAGTAGTATAATAAGTCAAACAACTGTATCAGAGTAGGAGGCAGTTATGGCTGTACCTGCCCTGTTCCTCAGACAACACTGGCAAGGAATATTTGCTGCATATTTTTAGCAAGAATTCTCTGTAGAGCATTATTTCAAACATCTCTGTGCTCTGTGTGAGCAGTTGGGTGGTGAAATTCCATGTGGCTGAAATACACAGAGCATGTGGCTGAATCCAGAGGAGAAAGGGATGGGAGTTTTTTTTTTTTTGAGCCCCACTTTTTGATTTACACAGCATTTATCACAGTCCATTGTACGTGAGGAGGATTAAATCAGCAATTACATGAATAATGACACTAGATAGTAACAACTGGGCAGCAATCACGCTTTTTCTCTCAGTTGTTAAATAACTAAGACAGCAGTTCAAGGTTTTGCAGGACTCCTGTTTGGCCCCAGGCACAGCCAGTTGTGCTCCTGGTTGTACTTGCATTGTTTCCTGGCCTGTGCTGTGCCTGGAGTAGCTTCAGTTCTGTGTGTGCAGCTGGGGATGGCTTTCTGTGGCCGAGCTTCCTTGTTGAAGTATTTGCTGCAAGTTGTCTGACTTTAAATACAACACTCTAATGACTCTACCACTTCCTTCTTGTACCTAACAGGACAGCATTCAGCAGGTACTCTTGATTTAGTGAATTATGTTGGTTGTTTTTATTTTTTGTCATCAAGCATGAAAGAATTCCTTGGAGTCATTTGGCTAAAAACTCTTGATTCTTTAACTGCAGTAGTAGAGTTGCAAGGCATTTATTGCCCATGTCCTACACCTTCAAGACAGAGCTGTATATTTTACTCTGTTATATGGGATATCACAAAACTTACACCAGTCTATCCCAGACCACTGTGAAAACACCAGTCACTTTAAAATACCTTTTTGGTCAGAAGTGACTAAGTGCTAGGTTTTCTTCTAAGGTCATTGCTTGGTATTCAAACTCTTCTGTGAAGGTGATGAACAGTCCAAGTCTCACAGCTTTGGCTGTGTTTGGTAAAGCTGATTATTTGCCTCTAAACGTCACAGAACCCCAGGGTGGCTATAATTATATGATGGCCATATAATTACATGGTCGAATTTTTTTTTTAACTGTAAATAAAAATTCTCATCTTACAGAAGTGGCAAGGATTAAACATTGTCTTGAGAGGGTAACTTTAATGCTGCTGCTACTCTGAGGGAAGGGTTTTAATGTCTAGAATGTCCTATGTCATACAGGAAATTCACTTTGAGCGACATTTTCTTTCCATATGCCCTTTACAAAAAAATGAGGAAGGGACTGGAGGCTGAGGGGTGCTGGGTATCCCAAAGGCTTTGCTGTGGTTCCATTGTTCCTCCTCCCTCCTCTATGCTCATCAGTGTGACAGTGTCACAGCTGGTGTGGGACAAAGTGCTCTCTCCTGATGCCACAGTTCATCCTCTGTGGCAAAGAACTGACTCCCCTTCTGTGTGGTATTGTAAGGGTACATTCATTAATGTTTCTAAAGCATTCAGAGCTGTGGCAGTGGAGCCTGTGCAGTGTGAAGTGACTTTTTCTGTTCTCTGTGACTGCAATTTGTATATTAGATATGCTGTGATTCAGAAGTGAAAATCAAGTCAATAACAAATCCTTTAAGATTTGTAATTTAATAATTTAATTGCTAATAGACTAATTCTGTGCTGTGTCTTTGTTATGATAATTTTTTTTTTACTTGGTTCTTTTTTATAACCTGGGAGAAAGATTTAATTTTAGAAGTTTCAGTTGACAAAGACATGCTGGTGCTAGATAGGTATTTCAGGTCATTGTCATTGTATTCTATTTTTAAATTTAAGTACCAGCCAACTGAAAGAGCACCCTGTATCTATGCTGGGTGTTCTGCATCTGTGCTACAGAGCTGAATTCTTCCAAGCTTCAGCACAAGGCCAGACAGTTTATTTTTATTTTTTTTTTCCTGTTTAATGAAGGGAAATGTTCTAGCACCTTTTCATTATCACAGAACTAAAATTGGTCATGAAAACAATCCCCCTCCCTCCAGAGGCCTGCGCAGGCATTGGCCATTGTTAAGATGCTTGCCTATCAACAGCCACTCAAGAAAGAATTTTAAATGGTTTTGTGACGTCAAGGATGCACAAAAAAAACACAGTCTGGTGCCAAATTGCCTCCATCATTGAAAGCACACAGTAAGAAATAGATAACACGGAAATAAATCTTTTGTGCAGTAGCTATCTCACTATAGGCTCTAGCGGCTCCAGTAAGTGAGCGTGTCTGGTATAGGAATAGCTGAAGAAGATGAACTTTCAGAGCCTCATTTTCTAATTTATGATTCATGCAAAGCCAGCCTAATCTGTCTGACTTCCTGCTGTCTGGACACAATGTCTGCAGGGAGCTTGGACCTCGCAGAGGGAAACGCCCTGACAAAGTTTCAGCCTGCAAAAGTGAACACTTTAAATACGGTGGACAAAAAACTGTATCTCTTGAACGAAAAGGTGGACAAACTGTTGCATTTCCAAGAAGACCTGACAGGCAAACTGCAGCGAGTGGACAGAGGCATTGCTGGTGTAGAAAATGGCATGAACAAGCTGACAGTATCCCGAGCAGCTCCTGCTGACACAGAGGCATTGCAGAAAGGCCCGAAGGAACCGGAGAGCGCTGCCCAGGCTGACGTGCAGAGCATGTGCTCAGAAGTCTTGAATTTGATGAGAGCTGCCCAGCTAGATGCCTCCAAGCATAAGGAGAGGCTGGCAAAGATAGAGAAAAGGGTTGATACACTGGATAAAGTTATTACATTTGTGGGAGAAGTATTAAAAAATTCTAAAGTTGTGGATTTCATTCTCAAGGGCATTGTGCCCTGGAAGAAGGGGAGTCTGCTGGAAATCCCTGTTGAGGTTGGTTTAGTTTTACTGTTCTTCATTTCACTTTATGACATAACAGGTCTTTAGGCTCTCCTGTCAATCTCTTGCATTATGTTGAATTCAAGTTTTCCTTTCTGTATTGCTGGTACAGGTTACTGCTGGGAACTTTGAATTGCAAGACTCTTAAGGCAGGGAGCAAGCTCAAAACAGTGTCTGAGGTTTCTGAAGGGTGCTGGGCAATCCTGTAATGGCTGTGAGAAGGAAATTGCTACTGGAAAGGAAAATTCAGTTTCTACCAGTGCTCAAGGCTCAGCAATGTCACCCAAATCAGTGACTAAATTGAGGCCCTAGTGAAAAGTATGAGTAGCATACTAGAAACTTTTGGGGTTTGTTTGAGAGAAGCTTCTCTTTCCTTGTTTGTTCACACAGCACCAGTTCCTGAGACCTGTGCTGAGTTATGGTCATGTTACTGAGCAGATTTACACATCCTTAGACATCTTAGCTGTCTTCAGCTACGTTTTTGTGATGCAGCTGTGACTTCATCAACTCCATCAACATCATTTACTCCTGAAATCAAGTAGTTCTTGTGTTTGCAAGTTCCCAGACTTCAGTTTCCAAGCATTTCTTAATTATTGTGGACAGTGAATGAAGAATAGGCAAGACCAGTACTTAGCTGATACGGTGTTTTAAAGTAGATCAACCTTGTTTTTTAACAGTGACAGACATCTGGAATTAGTTCTAGGTAATGGGAGTTTCTGTTTTTCACTGTGGCTTCTACCGCACCATGGGAATGAAAGAGAGGAAAACTGCAAGAGCTGGAATATGTTTATTCATTACAAATCTCCATGTATGTAGATATGTGATTACAGTAAGGAGAATTTAGCTCAAATGAAAATGTCCGTTGGTATTTTCCACCAAAGCTGTAAAATCCTTTGATGGGAAGATACATCTAACCCATTAGAAGAACAGGGCAATGCTTGATGGCAATGTACCTTTCCAAGCTTTCAGTGCTCTCCTGGTCTCCCTTTCTTAAGTGCCAGAGGCTGACAAGTGAGTTGGGCTGTTAGGAGACAGAGGAGTTTATTAAGTGCTTCCATTAGTGTTGAGAACAATAAATAATGCATTAGTTATCAACCTTAAATCTGAATAGAGATAAAGCTCATACTTGCAGTTCCAGCTTCAGTTCTACAGGTTTTTGGAGAAATGGGAAATTCTGATGTGTTTTTTGTAAAGCTGTGTTATTGCAGTCACTGCCTGCACTCGCTGCAAAATGCCTGGAGACAGATACTGTCCTTTGCTTGATTTTGTGGATAGGTGGATAGAGATTGAGGTGAAATGACTTGCTGGTGACAGCCTGGTGGAGTGGGAGGGGGTGGAGTTCTGTGTCCCAGGCTCTAACACGTGCCTTGGTTGGAGAACAGTCAGGGTGTAGTGGGTGAGCACCTTTATGGCAAACTCCAGTTTTGCAATACGACCATCATTGTCCCCCTATTTTGTCTCTGGTCATGAACACTTTTTGAAATTGGAGCATGAGGTCAGTTATAAGACCTTAAGTCTGTGCTTTGATCACAGACTGCTGAGTGATACCTGAACTAGGCTCGAGTTAGATTGTGTGTACGTGACCTGGCTGGGAAACGTGGAGCAAAGCACAGGTGAACCAATTACCTTGTGCTGAGCCAGGGCCTGACTTGGTCTGGTTTTTGCAGCCTGTTGTGTGCCAGCAGCTCAGACATGTCCAAAGAGCTGCACAGTTGCAGGGGGAGCACAGAAAAAGAACTTGCTGCCTGCTTGTTCCTGTTTTCCAGCCTTTGCTCTTTGTACCAGAGCTCTGCTTATCAGGGGCTGGGCTGGGAGCGGGGAGGTCGTGTTTGCATTTCTGGGTGAAGCTGTTTGTGGCAGCATTCCAGGCATGCCTTGGGAATGCTTATGGAAGAAGTTTTGTGAGGTTGGAGTTAACAAAAAACTATTGAGCTTCCTAGGTTCCAAACCTCTAACTTCTTACTTAAAAACACCAGCATTAAACTGTCACTTACCCAAGGCTTTCTTTGCATGTAGGATTGTGCCAGAATAATGTTCACCCTGGTCATTGTTGCAGGTTTGCTTAGAGCTGTAATAAAAAGGGTAATGATTTTTTCCTACTTTTACTCTTTGGGTGCCTTGGTTTTTTTGGAATGGGGAGGTGGGGAGGCTCTGTTCAATCTGTAGGGCTGGTGCATGAAATCCTTAACTGCTTTTACTAACAGGTGAAGGGCTGATGTGCAGCTGTCTTCTAATCAGTTACCTGCAGAAATACTTTGTGTTGCTTATTTGCTTGTACAAATCAGGATAGGAGGCTAGATCATCACTAGATTTTTAACTGTATACCAGCCACAGGAAATATTATGCCTTTTCCTAATTTTGTGTAATGCTTTTTGCTACATAGAAGTCAGTTGTAATTTGATTTCACATGTATTGCTGTGTGAAGTGTTTAGTGGTCCTGCTACAAAATATCCCTCCTCTCCAAGTAATTGGGAGAGAAGCACTGCTTAAAGATAAAAATCTGCTTCTGTTTTTAATCATTCTAAATGTGACATGTGAAATGTCAAGTACATACACAAGAGTTGATATAAAACTAGACATTATTTTTTGGTATCACCTCTTATTGGGTCAAATAATTAGACAAATATGTTTTGACAAATATATTTAGAAACATTGTTTTTTGTTCTGTCACCAGCCAAAAAGCAACAGAAATACAGCATCATTTCTTTTTCTACTGTCTCATATTTCACATGTCATACTTTTTTTTATCAATGTGAGTAAAGATGACAGGAGGCAAAAACCCCGACAAGTGAAAATTTTGGAAAGCAGTGAGCTAATGTATTAATCTGTTATGTTGTTTTAAAAGGATGCCTGCCTGCAAAGGCAGGGAGAGACTGGAGGAAGGAAGTAAACACAGCACTGACTAATAATTCAGAAGAGGTGTAACTGTCCATTTTTCAGAGTCTGAACCTAGTGGGAAATAGACACTGTTAGCTGTAACTGTAATTTCTGTGTTGCCCTGTCATTTTTAGGCCAAAGATAAGTCTGAGGAGAGTGGTGCAAAACCTAAGCATGTGCTTAGTAACAGAGGAACCCAGACTGAAAGCAAGAAGCCTGTGGAAGGTATGTATCACTCCAGGCATGCTGCAAGCGTTGACTCTAGAATGTGCAGCAGACAAACTGGAAATTAATAGCCTGCTGTTTCCTACTACCTGAATTACTTAGATGCAATTCAGTAACTTTGCCCTCAGTACTGAAGTAGAATTGTTCTCACCACCTTCACAAGATTATTTATCCCCAGGATCAAGCACTACAAAAAGCTAAAAGACACAGAAATTAAAAGGAACACTTCTGTTTAGCTGAGGTTTTTTGAGTTTGGTTTCAGTGAGCTGAATTCAGAGAGCAGAGCTTGTTTGGAGATACTGTGAAGATAGTGGCCCTATCACATAGCAAACCCAGTAAGTTCTTTTCCATTAATACCTCTGAAGCAGCCCTCCCTCTTCCCCCTCTCTGAAAAAGGGACGTGTTGACACTGGAATATCTTCTTCTGATCAGCAAGCTTCACTGGTGTGTCAGGGCCAGATTCCTATTTAGGGTGCATCTGTCAGGGCATTGCCCTGTTGCATCCACTGTCAGTGCCTGTGGTGTTGCAGCAGGGTGAACATGATGTTGAGCAGGCCCTGTCATGCTGCTGTCTTCACAAATTGTCAGTGAATCCCTTGCCTTATGGGCAGTCCCCTTCTTAGGTTCATGGCTTTGGAAGTGACTAAAACAAAGCAAATGGTCACAATTCTGACTCAAAAGCTACACAGAGTTGTGAGCTAACCTTGGCTGCTGGTGTTCTGGGCATGCTGAATGTTAATAACCACAGCCACTGTCATGGGAAGGCAGTGGAGAACCTTTTAGTCCTTTTGTGGAAACTGCAAGTGGGCTCTGTCCCGTGCCTCAGAGTCCTGCTGGATGTGTCTCTACCCCTCTAACTGGGGAGAAGGCTGTATTGGGATCAGGAGGGTCCTGCAGGACCTGCAATGCCTTAAACTACCTGTTATATTTACCCACAGAGTGATTTCAGATTTTAGATACAATGAACTTGAGCCTTACAGGTTTTTTGTTTCCTTTAAGGAATCCAAGTCCAATCTGTGGCACTGCTGGAAAGGCACCAGAACAGGTGAATCTCTGGTTTTGAGCCATGAGCATTAGTAGTAGTTTGAGCCTGATGGTGTAAGGATTTTAAACCTTTTGGGGAATTCTTGCTATCTTTTCAGGTGTAACTCTGTAGGTTATTTTGAGAGGTGTGTTGCTTTATTCCTCCTTTGTTTTGCCATCACTTTTGCCAAAGATTATTTATTAATGGATTATTTTATTCAGAGACAAAAAGCGTGAAAAAGCTGGATGAAAACAAGGGAGCATGTGAGAAGGTGAACACTTCCAGTGCTGTAGCCCACAAAGCTGACTCCAAACCCCAGCTTAAAGACAGGACAGCACAGCAGCAAGGGGTAGAAGGTGCTGGCAAAACACAGAGCTCTAAGAGCTGTCCACAGCAAAAGGACATCGATATCAAAGCTGTGAATCAACACAATGGTCTTCCCTTCGTACATCAAGATCATGCAGACAACCAAAATGCTCCTGCTAAAGCACAGAAGGTGGACAGAGCCCCAGGCCTTGATGAGTGCCACAGGCAGCTTGTTCATCAGAAAGCTGGGAAGAATGAAAACAAAGCTCCAGCATTGGGTGCAGCATCCCGGGAAGCTGTGCCCTCCACATCCCGGGCCGTGTCTGACACGGGCTGTGAAGTGACACATACCAGGTAATGGCCTTGTGGTGGCTTTCTGTGGGACCTGAAACCTTTCTAGGTGTTACAAGGGAGAAAAGAAAAGCCAGGCCATTAAAGGAGGCAGTTCCTGCATGGTGGGACCTTACAGGGGTTAAGGCAGAAGGCACAGGTGTAAAGTTCTGTGCAGCCCAGGGCTCAGATGGACAGAGGGGTTTGAGGCATCAGCACTTCTGTGTGCTGACATAGAAAGGTGACCACACAGAGGAGCTCAGGTGGTTATAAACCACTCACTCAAACCACTCACTCCCAGATCCTTGGTTTCTATAGCTATGGGGATGAAAGGAATTTGAGATATTTATTAGTGTATGTCAAAACAAGAACTTGTGTTTGTTGTTTTCAGTGTTTTGGTCACCTAAAGATTGTTCATGTATTATTCTCTATCGGACTAATATGTTCCTCATATAGGTGTTTCCTAGTCCATTTTCTTCTGGATTATTTATCTAGTATTTATTTTAATCCCATTTATTTAAAATTTGAAAAGGCCACACAACAGAAAACAACAAAACCCACAACCAAAAAACCCCTCCCAACTAAACCCAAACGAATGGAACTTCTGTGGCAGATTTTAACTGCCAGTACTTCTCTGTCTGGGTGGGTGGCTGTAAAGTGGTTTATATGTGTCTATGTGGGGGTGACAGACACTCATCCATACACACCCACAAATGTATGTATGACTTGGGGTGGGGAATTTCTCCATTGTTCATGTGTACAAATTTGGTGTTTGAGCCCCAGATTTTGATTTGGGGATGAGGGAGGCCAGCAGGTAAGTGGAAGGCAGAAGCTGGAGTAAACCCCACAGGCAGTTGCAGCCCAGGGCATTGTCATGGTTTGGAGTGTGAAGTCACATGAGGGTGGTAAACACCTCTCTAAAATGGATGTGACTTTTAATGAAGTTTGTAAACCCACACAGAGGCATCAGAGGAACATTGTGTTCCCCAGTTTGGAGAAATGCCCGAGAGTCCCACTGTGTTCAGGCTTGTCTAGATAGCAGAGGAAGTGTTTACTCAGAGCTGGTTTCAGCTGCTCTCACAGCTCACACCAGAGCAGCTTAGATCCAGCACAGCACCAGGGTGTTAAAGTGCAGAAAAATGAGACATTTCAGACTCTTGTTTTACAAAAGCAGAAACATTTTCTTCTGTAACATCTTTTGTAATGAGGTTGCTCCACCAAAAGAGGCAATTATCTTTGTGAAAATGAGGCGTGTTCTCTCCCAGACATCAGAAGCTGTCTTCATTTGCCATTGTATAAAATCTGCTTTACAGCTTCACAAGTTTCAGTTCAGCCTCACTAAAATCAGACTGCTCGTGACAGTTGGAGCTGTAACAGTTGACTCAAACATTATCACTCAAATATCTTTAATGGAGTTTAGGAGCACAGAGAATTGGTTCTAACCTGTATTCTTTTTAGGCAGCACAAGAGGGGAAAAAATCATTAAACTTTTCCAGTAGTTAAAATGCCAAGGAAAATAGTACTGATGGAGTGAGAGAGTTTGTCAAAGTTTGATTTTTAAGAGAAGGCTGTGGAAAGAATGCTATCCATCAGAAGACCCAAACACAGATGGCTGAGTGTGCAGGTCAGCCAGCTGAAAGAGGATACAAACCATCAGATTTGTGGAGGCATATGAGCAGCCAGCCATTTAGCTAATCAGCCTGTAATTTGTGAAGGCAATCACTATCCTCGCTCTGCCCAGATGATGATGTTTTATTAGACCAACCATAATAATTGCAAAAAGTGGGTAAGTTTTCAAATGTGGGATTAACTCTTTGCAGGGTGAGGCATTTTGTTCAGCAGAAGGGCAGACATGTAGAGAGATGAGGACACAGAGACAGAGAAAGAACCAGCATGCTTTTTGGAGCTCTTCCCTTAGTGTTCATGGGTTGTTCCCAGCAAGATTGGTGCAGTTAGGTCTTATCCATACTATAGAAGTGTTCAGGTTCAGAAAAGTACAGATTTTTCTTCCCAAAAATTACAAAATCCAGCTGGCCACCTGCATTAATATCAAATGTCTCCTGTTTGCTCTCCAGGATATCCATCAGTGTACATATGACTGACATGAAAGAAAAGATTGAGATGGCCAAGGAGGGAAATGTAAGTGACAGCAGAGGTAAAAGTTCCAAAGTGAAATCCACATCAGCAGACTTGAAAGGAGTCAAGCCTGACAAATTAAAACTTCAACAGGGTCCTAAAAACATCAGCTCCAAGCCAAATTCAGAAGTTAAAGGGGACAATAAGCAAAATGAACTTGCACCTCAAACAGGGAAGCAAAAGCCATTCCTGAGCAAACCCAAACCAGGTGAAAAAGCTGAAGAGAAATCAGAATTAAAATGCGAGCCCATAACCTCACAGAATACCTCTGCAAAGGAGCCTGTGAAAGATGCAGGGGTAAAAGTGAAAATTCATCAAGAAACAGCAAAAGCAGAAAAATCCCCAACAGATACCAAGTCTGAGAGGAGGGAATCTGAGACTGCAGGGGGAAGCAGACACGATGCTCAGTGTACAGGAGTGGCACCAGAGAAGACCAAGTCTCTGGCAGCTGGCAGAGCTCTTCCCACTCTAGGAGAAATCATTGGTAAGTTGCTCAGAGTTACTCCTGAAACTTGTGTGTTGAGGATTTTGTGCTATTCCTGCCTGTTGTGTAGACAATAAGAGCAGGAGCAGTGCTCAGTGGAACACCCATGTCTTACACTTCAAGGGCATTTTGTATTGAGTACCTTTGACTATGTGACTAACAATTCACAGATTCTTTTAATAGTAACTTTCCTTTTAAAGTGTGTTTTGGGGAAAAAATAATTTGAAATAAAATAGCATGAAGTGTAGATGTGATGAGAAGTGCGAGAATTTTGAAAAAAATCATTTTGTTTACATGAAGCATTTGTCCCTTCAGATAAGAGTGTGCAAACCAAACACACTTTAGCAATTGAGCACAGAAAAGTACTGCAGGAAATGTTTCTTGTTGTGGCCTGTTGTGTTATTGGCCATGGATCTCTTGGTTCCTGAGGGAACACTTGGGTGCTTTGTCTCAGAGAATGCTTTGTTTCTCTCCTGGCAGCACATGTGTGTGTACATTCCAGAATGTACAGACATGGGCAGATGACCTGACTGCTCTGGCATGCTGAGCAGGGGCTGGAGATGAGTTGAATACATGTTAAATTGCAGCCTGAGATACCTGGAGATTAATTATAAAATTGCTTTTACTGGGGGACATAAAAAATGGGTTTGATGAAGCTTTGCCCTAGAAAGCCTTGGATATTAAGTGATCACAGTTAACTAATTTAGCTTACCACAAACAGACTAAACTTAGTAGTTGTAATGCTAATAATTTTAGATTTAATTTGGAAATTGTCTGCAAAATTCTTGCTGCTAAGAGGAGCCTCATGATTTTATCAATCACTGTCCTCATTCCTCAGTGCTGTGTATTTCTGCTGGTTTTTCTGGCTGTCACATAACAAAAGATGTGTAATTTTTTTCAAACTTTCGGGTAGTAATTTCTGGTGGCCCTTTCTGTTAATGCATAAACGAAGATGTTGTTCTCCTAAAGGTGTCCAGTGGGTTAACTCCATTAAAAAACCAGAGTGGAGGTTCAGGAGGTGGGATGCTGATCTCAGTTCTGGGACTGTGTTCCTTGTCTGTAAAAGGCATTTAGGAGGGAAAGCCCCTCACATCCTGTGGGGTGAAATCCGTGGTGTGAGGAGGTGGAAGAGGGCAGTGATGAGTGCAGACATGTCAGTGAGCAGCCTGTCTCCCCTGCAGATGACAGCCCCTCTCCTCCAGCTCCCTTTGAGCACCGCATCGTGAGCGTCAAGCAGGCGGAGGTGACCACGAGCTACTCCGTGTGTCGTCACGAGGTGCTGGGGGGGTAAGTGTGGCTGTCCCCACTGTGCTGTGCTGCTGGGGAAAGGCAGCGAGCTGCAGGCTCTGCAGCTGGCCCCAAGGTGTGTGTGTGATGGACAGACTGCAGCCAGAGGGGGTGGGTTCATCCTGGAGCCCTTTGGGTGATCACAGCTGCTCCTGCATCAAGGATGTCCCTTAGATGGCTGGTTTCTGCCCCAGCCCCATTTTCAGATGCCTCATTGCCATCCTGGTGACTGTTTTTTTCATTTGTTTTAATAATCATGGCCTCAGTGTTGTGAGAAGAACCTGCAACCTTAAGGCAGGCAGATTCAGAGCATTTGAAAAGTCAGCAAAGCCTATTAGGTCAGGCAGCTTCCAAAATCTTTTTTTTTCTGTGCTGAGCTGCAATTACAGAAAACTAAGGAAGAGTTATAATTATTTTGACTTTATGTTTAGTTTTCACTCATAGGAAGTCTGCAGCTGCTTCAGCTTTTGTATTCTAGTATCCTTACTTATGTGACAAGAAGGCTTGATTTACACATTGATCCACATACAAATATGGCTTAATAAGTATAAGCAATATGATGCAACAGCAGGGAAGATGGTGCTTAGGACTCATCCCAAGGGGCATTAACATATCTGTGTGGCATGGAGGAGAATTTACAGAACGCCAGAAATGCAGGCTGTGGAGTGGCTACAGTTACTGGTCTTATGGTCATGTAAAAAGTTCTGGGATCAGGACAGAAATACCCTTGTTAATAGACCCACTAACATATCCCTGAAGGACAGCAAGGGGGTCCAGTTACAGAAGGGAGCCAGAGCATGGCCAGGCCATCATGCCTCAGCAGGACCAACAGGGCTTAATATTTTAATGTAAGCACTGAACAACTGGCTGGAAAGATAAAACTAATCCTTCATAAGCTGAGAGAAAGAGGAGCTCTGTGCTGCTGGCCACCCGACTCCGTTCACTTTGTACTGGGTTATTTTTGCTCATGATAAGAATAGTTCCAGGAGAGGATTCAGTGCTGAACAGCTTTCCCATCTTTTCTTTGGATCCACAGGGGGCGTTTTGGGCAAGTCCACAAGTGCACGGAAATATCGACGGGGCTCAACCTGGCAGCCAAAATCATAAAAGTGAAAGGAGCCAAAGAGAAGGTAACCACACTGCTGGGAGCTCTGGCCCTGCCCTCCCTGCCAGGGCCAGCATCCCTGCCCCGAGCTGCCCTGTGAGGAGCAGCTCATCCTTGGGTACCATCAAATACTGCAAAATCTTGAACTTGCTGTGACTCTTCATCATCTCCTGTTTTCATTATTAAACCCACAATCCCCTTGAGATTTGTGCTGTAGCTGTTGTTGGGCTTTATAAATAGTTCTGTTTTGGTATGTTGAAATTCAAGGAGTCTATTTTGCTCATTTTTTGTTATTTTGTTATTTTTTTTCAGGAGGAAGTAAAAAATGAAATTAACATCATGAACCAGTTAAATCACGTGAATCTGATCCAGCTTTATGATGCTTTTGAAGCCAAAAATAATATCACTTTGATAATGGAATAGTAAGTTTAAATCATCTCAGGAATTGTCAGGTGTTGGGGTTTTCTCAGGTCACTAAAGCAAATAGGGAATGATAATTCTGAGCTGTAAAGAAGTGAATGGTTTCCCAGCCTAAGAGAGAGTTGATCTCACTTTCAGAAGGAAAAAACAATGTTTTAAAGGTAATTTCTTCAGGTTAAAAGCTTGTCAGAGCTTCACCTCTGAGTAATTATTTCTTCTGTGCAGAATTAAGTTCAGTTGTCAGCTCATGTGAAACAGCTTTCAGTTTGAGAAGTTCCATTTAGTAAATTTTGTAGGTTGAAGACTTATTTTCCCATGACTAGTAAGATGAGAGAATAGCAGACACTTTAGTACTCCCTGTAGGTTCTCCAGGTCCCACAGGATCACTAGGTCATGTGGGTTTGGGTTTGACATGTGTCCCCCCAAATACTAGTGCCAACTTTCCAATTTTTGAATTTAGATTGAAACTTAATTTCAAGAGCAATAAGTCTCTTGAAGTCACTGAGGCTGCTGATACACTTTGTATTGGATGTTTTGTTAGGACCCTCAGTTACAGAACCTAATTCCCAACCTGAAAATAAATCAGGCTAATGCAAGATTTTAGGGGTTTTAACGCTTTCCTGTGTGGAAATTTCAGTCTTGATGGTGGGGAATTATTTGACCGGATCACAGATGAAAATTACCATCTGACAGAGCTGGATGCCATCCTGTTCACCAAACAGATTTGTGAAGGAGTCCACTACTTGCACCAGCATTACATTCTCCACTTAGATCTGAAGGTCAGTTGTTTGTGCTCTCTGTGCTTTAGTGGTGCTGCTTTAGGCACCACAGCGTCTCTGATTACTGAGGAGTAATTTCCTATTTCATGGACTCACCTCGTAAAGGAATAGAATTAATAGCTGCAATGAATGGAGCTTTAGAGATTGATTACTTTTTTCCAATGTCTGTTCAGTAGCTTGCTTGGAATCATCAGGATCCCTGGGCTTTTGCCTGTCTTAAATGAGAAGTTTTTCATTCTCTGTAGCATTAAACAATCCCTTTTTATCATGGATGAAAAAAACCCCACCCAAAACCTCCTTGGCTAGAAAAGCCCACAGTCTTCCCTCTATTTCCCCTACCCTTTTTTAACAGTGTACAAATACCTGTTCAGTCATCTTCTATAGTTTGTACTTTTTACTGCCTGGAACCAACCTGCAGCAAAATTGCAATGTTTTCCTAATGGTCCCTTAATAATGGATATTTTTAAACAGAAATACAGACTTTTTTTCCTGCCTGTTTATTTAGCACCTTACGTTTAATGACATTAAACCAGGCTGGCTCATAGGCAGTTCTGCAGCTGGACCAAATCAACTCCCACATCCCACCTTGAAAAACATTCTCACTGGGAAAATAATAATTTTGGGTGCATTTGATCTGTTTTTTGTGGCATTTTATGGAGGGAATTTTATACTATCTTTTGCTAGATATCTCTCTCAAACATTTAACTCAAAATGCCCTCTTATCTTTTTGTAGCCTGAAAACATCCTATGTGTAAATCACACAGGAAACCAGATTAAAATTATTGACTTTGGATTAGCAAGAAGGTAAGAAAGTTCAGTTATGAATTATTTTAAAAAACAAAACCAAATCAAAATCACCAAATCAAATCTCTGATATGTTTCTGGTAGTTCTTTGGTGGGGGGTTGTGTTTTGATGGCTCTGTAATAATTCTGTGTGAATGAGTTAAGCATTATGCTTTTGCAGGCATGAGCTTTCTGCTGTGTGCATTAATTATCTAATTACTTATTCAAATAACATTTCTCTTGGATAAAGCTTAACTACTGCTCTAATTATCTCAAAATTATTCCCCATGTAGAGCTTTTACTCTAGGGACTCTGTGAAGGCTCCCAGAGACTTCTTGACTGCAGGGTTTCATGGTGCAGGTTCTAATTGTAGAAATTATCTGCTAAACTCTCTAAGTAGCTACACTGATTGAAGGAAAAAAAAAAGGAAAAAGAACATATTTGAGCCATCCCATGTGAAACAGGAAACCTTCAGAAAAATAGACTTTTCTCCATTCTTTTACTTTGCTTGCATGAGTTTAAAGAAAAGCAGTGAGAGCATAGGTCAATTGCCTTAGAATAAAAAGGAGTTATTTCTATTATTAGGACAATAAGAGCAATAATATTTCTGTAATTATTTTCTAAACCCTTTAAGATTTTCCTTCAGCTAAAAGCTGGTACATTCATGCTTATATATATTTATGTGCTTGTATATAAGTGTCTGTTCAAGGACTTTGTCTCCATAAAATGCTTGTGAAAGAAAAATATATACATTGAATTTGGTTTTTTTTTGGGCTGGTTTTTAATTTGGGAGGGTAAAGATACAAGCTGCTACTGAAGCAGTTTTGGGAACAAAATCATCCGGGAGAAAGAGATTTCCTAGCAATGCTGTAGTGGTTTGTTCTGTCTGAACACAGATGTGAGTCCAGCTGCTGTCAGTGGCAATTGTTACTGGTTCAGTTTTGTAACCTTTCCCTGTTTTGCAGTAGCAGAAAGAATGGTAATTTCCCCCTATATGGGGATCACTGTTACTTGGTCCCAAGCCCAAATAATCCTCTTCAGTCCCACCTCACTTACATTGTGTTCATATCTGTGATGCAGATGCTCACCCTGAGCTGTAGCTGGGGACATCCCACTGATCAAATTCTCTCCAAATCTTGTATAGTCAAAACTGCTTCATTTGTTTAATGGATTTTGGACAACATCTGCTGGAAACATCCTCTGCTACCTGGCAGAGGGTACAGCTGCTCCCACTCTTTGTGGGAGCCCTTTGCAGGGTTTAGTGTCCTTGTTCTTCCTGCTGGCTTTGCTCTGGCAGAGGGACAATGATGGAATATTCCCCTGGGCTCACCCCAGTGCTGCCCTGGCTGCCGGGCACTCGACTCTGCCCCCCTGCCACGCTCCCAAAAGCTGTGCCTTGCTCTTCCCTTGGTGGGATCAGCTCCCCAGCTCCTGACTCGTGGCTCTTTTCCTGGTACAGGTACAAACCCTGTGAGAAGCTGAAGGTGAATTTTGGGACTCCGGAGTTCCTGGCTCCCGAAGTGGTGAACTATGACTTTGTTTCCTTCCCCACGGACATGTGGAGCGTGGGTGTCATCACATACATGCTGTGAGTGCTCCAGGGGCCCTGCAGGGCAGGCTGCAGCAGCCTCTGAGCCCATCTGGCTGTGACCACTCCTTGTGAATTCTGTTAAACCCCCAGCTTTCCATGCAGAGGTACCTCTCTGTGTCCAAAATTCTAAACAACAAATGAGCCCTTTGATAAATATGTAAATGTTCTTCTCCCTTATCATTATAGCAAAGTAAAATAAATGGGTCAGGTATTTTTTTTTTTTACTCTGAAAAGTTGCCCGAATATGTGAGAATTTTAATTTTGATTGTGATTTTGAGGACTTGAATTAACTTTTAAATTTGTAATCAGATAATTTTATAATCTTAGACTTGGTGTGCATCTGCTCAGGAGAACTAATATTGTCTGTTGGGCCATGGGTCTAAGAAATGACCTATCATGAATAGGCCTAAAGATTTCTCTGATATCTGTCTGTCCAAAGTCTCTACCTTCTGATGAGCTTGTTTTGCATTCCAGAATCTTTCACAGACGTTTTCCGTGAACTGGATAAATTTCTGGTTTAAATTTGTATGTTATCCAAAACCCAACCGTATGAAGTAATAAATGATGGAAGCAATAAAGATGGGCTTAGAGACTAACTGTAAAAAGTAATTTATTGCTCAGAATTCTGTTTAATTGAAGCCACATAAGGATATGGGCCCCAATTTGGGAAAGCTCTTGAGTCCCTCTAGCTTTCCTGTCTGGGAAAGCAATGAAGAATGTAACTAAATCCTCACTGAATCCATTCCTTGGGGATCTGTTAATGGTGCTCCCTGACCTGAGTGAACTGCTAGGGGGTAACACTAAATTACAACATTTAATTGCCCCTAACTGTTGCCTTGTCATAGCAGAGACTGAGAAGTGGAATCCTCCATAGCTGAGAGCTTTTCCCTACATAAGATAGCAGCAGTTAAAAAGCAGAGGATTCATACAAGGAAAAACACACCCTGCACCTGCTAACTGCTCTTCTCCCCCCACCCCATCTTTCTTTTTTTAAGGCTTAGTGGCCTGTCCCCATTCCTGGGAGAGACTGATGCTGAGACAATGAATTATGTAGTCAATTGCAGCTGGGATTTTGATGCAGAAGCATTTGAACAGCTCTCAGAGGACGCCAAAGACTTTATTTCCAGACTGCTTGTGAAGGAGAAAAGGTACCTGGGTCTGATTGTGAGAACAGTGGCACCAATGATATTAAATTCTTACCAGCCAATTGTTTGGATTGCAGCCAACAATGAGAACTTACTATGTGACTTTTTTGTGTGCTGGCTCTGGGCTTGCTGGGCAGTTCCTCAGCAATTCAGAAGTCCCTGTTTTAAAGGAAAATGTCCGTGTACCCTGACTGAGGAAAGTTGCTTTTCACAGTAGCATCAATGCAGGCAGAACACAGGAAATCTGTAAGGATTTGCAGTATAGAAATCTCTCTCTAAAGATTTTGCTTCTCTGAGCAAAAACTATTTCTATTGTTAGTTTGGACTGTCACAGGCCTTGACAGAAATTGCAAAAATGCCTCTTGAATGCCATGGAGGATAAATGGAAGCTGCAGCTGTGAAAATATGCATTGTTCTTTTCTAAAGTGGTCTGCAGGCTTTTGGGAGACATTAGGGAGCATTTGGGACTCAACTCTGCTTGTGGCTTCTCATTCTTGGCTCTGCTGGGATAAAAAGTGATTGCACATGTGAAACAATGCAGAGAATGAGGATCAAACTGATGTCAGACCATGGCTGGGGAGTTGGCTGCGTACAGAAATTTTTCTCTTGCTGAGTAGTGATACAAAACTAATCAAATCAGGAAATGATGCATACAGTAAAACAGATTGTGTTTGAGGGGAATTCAAAGGAGTGCTTAGAATATTAACAACTTCCAGATCATTACCTAAATCAGACAAATCAGTTCTAGTACTAATTCCATTTTGAACAATAGGTTACTATGAAAAACAAAGAATTAGCTGAAATTTAGCATATTGCCAGCAAGAGAGATCTAAGGATTTTTACTCAGACTGTAATGATGATTTCATGTGAGACTGTAAACTTTTGAGCCTTCAATTTTTCTGTGCAATAGGATTAGGGTATCCAGAGGGACCCTCTGCAAAATCTGGCTAGAAGTTGTGAATTAAATGAGTATGTGAGAGAAGAGTGTTGTCAGTGAGTTGCAGAGAGCAGTGATTAGCTGGCCCAGTTGTTCACAAGGTGTGTGGCAACCTCTGCTCTCCTGCAGCCCAGGCACCTTTGCCCTGCTGGGACAGTGGGTCTGGCCTTGGGCAGGATCTGCAGCCCCCTCTCCTGACTGCTGAAATTGGGGTGAGCAGGCAGGAGCTTCCTTTTCATCAGCTCAGTGACAGCTCAGACAGAGCTCAGGAGTTAGACATAAGCTTTTGATTGGAAAAAAAAACAAAGTAAACTTTCTTCCCCAACATCTCTACCTCAAGATTTCCTCTCTTATCATATATTTCCCAAACCTTTTAGGATAGGCCGTGGTATTTGGGCCCATTGTTGGATGTCAGGATATTAAGTATGCTTAGCTTGATCCAAGTTTAGGGTGAATAGACAATTGTGCTTTTTAAATATGAGGTACAGAATATGCTTTTTAAATATGAGGCACAGCTTGTGCAGTCAAGACAGACAGATAACACCACAAATGTTACTTTTCTGTTAGCAAAGTTCTGAATTTGCATAATAAAGCGATGCATTACCCATGAACTTAAGCACAGCTCAGGCGCCGCACTGCAGAGCCAGCAGCAGTCCTTCATCCCGCTCACCCCTCCTGCTGGAGAGTGCAGGATGCTGGTAGGATCACGGGCATTTGCTCTGGTGTTCATCCACTTGAGGCAGTTTCTCCATCCCTAACAAAGAGGAGCACAGGGCCCTAGGAGGGGAGCAGAGGGGTTTGGCTTCTCACGGAGATCCCTCCCTGCAGCTGCCGGATGAGCGCCACGCAGTGCCTGAAGCACGAGTGGCTCAACAACCTCCCTGCCAAGGCCCAGAAGTGCCAGCGCCGCCTGAAGTCCCAGCTGCTGCTGCAGAGCTACATGGCCCACAGGACATGGAAGGTAAATAAAGCTGCTGCCACAGGGATCAGCACAGCACAGGCACAGCCATTCCCTCCTCTTGTGCTCCTGGTGCCCACAGGCTGCTCGGTTGTAAGAACCAGCTGTGAAGTCTGTCTGTACCTGTAAAGGAAGCGTTTTGTCCTGCTTCTATCTCTAGCAAGTTCGGTTTCAATTTTTGCACTGATTGGTGTTTAGAAGTTTTTTGCATCTTTCTTTCTGCATGTTCAAAAACTTCAGATGCAACTTTATATTAAAAGTTCATTATCTTGATACTTTTTCCAGTGCTAACAGTTGCATTGATTTCTTGTCACTAAGGAGTAGGGATATAATTTAAGGCAGTTTGTGCCTCCCACTGCAAAATGGAAGTGTGGGATAGAGGGAAAAAAAACTAGGCTTAAACCCATTGAGAGAATACTTCAGGATCTTACTGATAACCCCAGGCTCCTTCTGAACTAAGTTTTTATGAAGTGATAGGTAGTAATTTGTGTTTGGGTCTCTATTTGATTGTAGATAATTGATCCTAAAAGGTGAACGTGGCAATCTCGTTAGAAAGAAGCCTGTGGAATTGTGAGGCAAATTCAGTGAGGACCATTTCCTTCCCTTCTGTCACTGGGGAGTTGCATTTCCTTGCCAAGGAGTTAAACCAGAGGCTTACACTTTTTTCAGTCCTGCAATGCTTGAGGCAAACTTCTGCATTTAAAAGATGACAAAATCTAAAGACCCATCACTGTTCAATTCATAGTAACACTGAAGAACCTCACAGTGCTGTGCTGGAACCACTGCCCACACAAGCTGGGGGTCACTAGAGGGAAATGGGTTTACCAGGAAGAGAAATCCCTGTCAGCTGCAGAAAAATTCCTTTGCTTGATTGCACTCACGCTTGGACCGTTCTGTTCTTTTCACAGAAACACTTCTATGTGGTGGCTGCTGCTAACAGGCTGAAGAGATTTCAGAGTATGTCTGTCAAGCTTTCATGAGCTTGTGTGAAACCTACACCACTCCTGGAGATGGACTTGAGACCATGGAAGGAGGACTCAGTGTCTCCGAACATTTCTATCCCTGTTTTATAATGTAATGTTTTGGGACTGTCTTCCTCAATTATTTTGTGTGTTAGTGCTGTGGTTCCAGAAGAGCCTTAAGGAAGAAACACAAGATTTCTAAAAGCAGAAGCTACTTGGTTTGTTTTTACAAGTTTTTAGTTGTTCTATACAGTGGTGGAAAAACATGGCTGTCACTGGGGCTGACTTCTTGCTGAAGGCTTTGATTCTGCAGAGTATTGATGGTGTGTTTATAGCAGAAAAACCCTGGCAGTTTTCTGCTCTCTCACACCAAGCATGGGATCTCTAAAGACTTTCTTCCAGACTGATGTTTCTGAGCTACCAGTTTTAGGGAACTACCACACAGTGGCACAACTTGTCCCTCAGGTGTTTGTTACTTAAAAGATACAGACATTGTTTTCTTCTGTATTTCTTTTCAAAAGGTAATTTCCCCACAACATGAAGATGCTTCAGTGCAACTCCAGCTTGGGTGGTTTTGGTTTGTTGTTTTATTATTCTACGCTCTCCTTTAAAAAATAGTCACTGCATAGTTAGGAACTATGAGGAACCTTGGTTTGAAGTAACTTAAGTCAATCCATTGCTGCTGTTTCTTAGGGCAAGTTGAATTGAGCTGAACCGATTGAACTTCTGGAAGGAGAGGTGTGAAACTGCCATGCATACAAATCACCTAATGACTGTTGGGTCTGTGTAAAAAGATCTCATGTTGTAGAGAAAAGAGGAGAGTTCCAGGGATTTAATGTTTTTAAAAATTATAAGTGCTTTTCATTGTCTATGACTGCAGCATTTAAGTTGCTAAGTTTTAGTTTGAGGATTTGTTTCTCCTCTCTGGAAATTTTAATGCAGTATGAGAAGCTGGTATGGTGTGACATGCAAAACAGGTTTCATTTCTAATAGTTTCAGTGACAGGGAGACAGTGTGTTGCCAGACTCTGCCTTTAGTCCAGTTAGGAGGTTGAAGCCCTTTGAAACCCTTTTTTCTCCCCTCACTTAGCTCTTGAACATTAAACCTTTTCTTCACAATATTAACTTATTTTGGATTTTAAACTCTTTTCTTATGCATAAAGTGGGAGTCACAGTCTCTCAGATAAAAGTACAACACTATTTATTAAACCAGTGATTTCCTCTTCTGGATTCTGCAAAACGGTGTGAACTGGATGGGCTTTTGGGAAAAACAGAGATTAGTATTACTAAAAGTAGCTTTCCAGCAAAGGCACCTGTAACGTTCTTTTGAACTTTATGGACTTTCACACCCCTTGAATTTGCAGAAGTGTTGGTTGCTAATGATAAGGTTTGTAAGACTGCCTTACTCTGGTCTAGCTATCTTTTCCACTCAAGTGCTTCTCACTTTGCATAGTCCTGACTTCTGCAGCATTTCCAGAATTGGGGCAGAGAAGAATCTTGATAATTTATCACCTTCTATGAAGGCCCACTTTTGTTCATGTTTTCCTTCCACAGTGTTTCTGCATGCTGAATGTCGTTGTATTCATTGGTCTGTATATTTCTGAATTAATACTAATAAATTTCATGAAAGTGGAACAAGAGTATTCATCAACATTGGTTTAAGCCCTGCTGCCAAGCAAACCTGAAAGTATTTCTGAGTGGGTCCAGAGATACAGGCCAGAAAGAAAACATGCATGAGAAATGGAACAAAGACTTCTTCTCTAAGCTTATGACTGTGAGACATAAAAAAAAATCTATTATCCAGTCAACATCCTTTTCCTCTGGATATCTTCATTCTTAAGGCACAGGCATCTCCTCCATGTTTCTTATTTTGTATTCCAAGTACCTGTGCCAGCCAAGAAATGTCATAATGCAAAGCTTTTCCTTCCAGTACTTATTGTTTCTTGGAGTATTTGGGACCCTACAAAAGCACAAGAGATTTCATTCCTATACCTGTGAAAATAATCAGATTCATTGACTGAACAATATTTATTTAAAAAAGCCCAAAAAACTAAAAAAATGAAGGCTTTATTTCTCTGCTGACTTTGCAGTTTAACAAGGCACTATTAGTCCCCTTCCTCTTATTTTACTGATTGCTTCTAGGCAGGAGCCCAAGGGCCTGTAACTTATAACTTATTTACACTTAAAGTAGCATTAGAATGTTACCTGCTTCTCACAACAAGAGAATGAAGCGATTCTACCCCTAATGCCACAGCCTGGTGAGCACACACACACTTCCTGTAAAATCCCATCACGCCGTGGTGTCATTTATTAAAAAAAACATTCTTAAATACTTAAAACCTAAATAAAATCAGCTGTCTGACAGGCAGCCACCATTCACATGCTACTGGATCTCTTGTTAAAGCAGAAGGAGAGTTAAAATTAAGAGCAAGCAGCAGTTACATTACTGGCTGGTGTTACAGAGTCAGTACTCCTTGTCTCTTGTGCCTTAGCAGCATTTTCCAGGATTTTCTTTTTCCATTCCTCATAGTCCTGATTTGTTTCAGTCTTTAGCTGTTTACATGGGAGTTCCTCGTCCTCTTCAGAGCCTGTGAGGAAACAAGAAAGCCCATGAGAGGCCATCATGGGCAGCATGCTGCTGGGGTAACAGGCAGTGAGCAATCAGCAGGAGGGGGCTGTCCCTGTGCTATCCAATCCTGCGGGTACTGCTGTCCTCACCTGCTGGGACAGTCACCTCTGCACCTCTGTGTCTGAACACAGCAGCTGTCCTTCTTTCTACTGGGACTACTCAGTGGGAGCTCCTCTGTCCTGCCACCTGGCTCTGTGTGCTTCCACAGTTTGCAGGATTGAGAGCTGCTGTGTGCTGGAGCATCGTGGCCATCACACAACTCATCCAGTGAGGTAATTTTCACTCACAGCTGAACACAACTTACCATCTTCCTGCTCACACTGCTCCAGGGTGCTCTGCAAGCTGTCAGGTGTCTCTGCAGCCAGTGGAACATCTTCTAAAAAAACAAGAAAGTTGTTTTGCTTTTGAATGGTATTTGGGGCTCCAAGGATGTTGACAGCAGTGCCACCTTCCACAAGTACTATTGTCCAGTCAGAGCAGTTCCCTAGTCCAGACTGATGCTCAAGCTCTAGAAGTGGTGCCAACACTTCAAGAATGGCATGGACTGACTGGCTGCTTTAATTAGCAGGTTGCTAATTAGCAGCAAACTGCTGCTGCATTGGTAACCACAATGATGCACCATGTTGATTGCCCCAAACCACACTTCTACCCTTCTAGGTCCCTCAGGCAGGATTATCAATTATTTCTTTCCCCTCTATTCCATTCCCACTATTTTCATAGATAACCACAACAGGCTATGCAGTTATACAGATGCACAGTCTTCCCTGAATTCTTCAGGAAGTTCCCAGTTGTCTTTAGTTGTTTAGCACTGGTCTAATGCTTGGGTTTTTATAGGGCACATGCCTAGGAGAAAGTAGGAGCTTTTGGGGTACATTTAGGCAGCATGTTGCAGAAATCATCAGGCTATGAAGAGACAGTGAGAGGATAACTTTCAGTGGGAAAGTAAAAATTGAAAGCTTGGGAAAAGAAAAAGGAGAAAGAGGAGGCAGCAGAAATACAAGGACATTAGGGCACATATTGTATTTCAGGCTTTCTCCCCCATAAAAGGAACAGAGAGAGCTGCAGGCTCAACAATGGGCAAGAAATATTCCTGACATCTGTATGAGGAGGGGTGGTGCCAGGGAATGGCTGAGTTGGTACCAGAACAGCAAGGCTTAAGCTTGTTGATCTTGCAGTGGGGGAAAGCGCAGGAGTGAGTCAGCCTGAGAAGATGTTTGTGATAATCTGTGTGCCAGGTTACCATGTTAACAGGATGCAGAAACCAGGCAAGAGGGAGGAATCCAAGATAGGTCAGGTAGTATGGGAGAAGCAAGGAATGAATTGCAGCAGCAGAGGCTGTAAAGAGCAGTGAGCATTTGAGAAGAGAGGAGAATATTATTTTTGCCCTTGCCACTTTTCCCTGGTTTGTTCTTGCTAAAATACTGCAACTTCTCCAGAAGCAAGGATGGGGAATAGAACTGGGCTGCAGGAAACATGTTAGAATGTAATGGATGGGCAGATTTGGCTGAAATCACCAATGGAACAGCATGGGGCACTGTGAGGCCATGGGATGGGTGTGTTGTTTTGCAGGGACAAAGCCAAAAACTTACTACTGAGTTGCTGGCTTATCTTCTCCAGCTGATTGCAGAGCCGGTCAAATATTGCTTTTTTCACTCCAGATGTAGCCACCATTTTCGTTTTGTCCACTTTTAGCTTCAAACACCTACAAGAGAAAGTTATCTCTATACAAAGCAACACTCCAGCAACTATCACTTAGGTGAGGTGATAAATTACTGTACCAACACTGCCTGTGAGAATGAGAAAGGCAGACCTTTTAGTCCCACCTATCCTTGTCTCACTCAGAAACAAATCTGGTTAAAAAACAGACCCTTATGTCACTATTGGACATGTGAAAGCATGATGCGAGCCACCTGCTATTTGCAAGGTAAGGAAGAAAGTTTATTCTCCGACTCCGACTACTTTCCCAAAGGTGACATTGGATTGGAGAGCGAATGGGCCACCTCTCAAAAGACATTGGACAAACCACTAGTACATCAAGTTTCTCCACCCCCATAAAAGAATGTAAACAATATGTTGTTTACAGAAATTGTGTGGGAAAGTTCTCCAACAGAATGTAAACTCAGAAGGCTTTAGAAAATCTTAAGAATCAGGGCGACACCCCTACACTCTTCAGTCAACACAGCTCAACTGAAACTCAGGATGAGTTGAACTTACATATGGAATTGTTTTAGGAAAAGGTAACTTTTTAGATTTTCAGAGAAATCAAGACAAAATGCCACTACAACAAAAAGCCGAATGTGAATCTTTGTCAAGAAAGCCCTTGTCAGGAGCTGTGCAAATACACAGCACCTGTACTGCTGAATAAGACTGTCACAAGGTGTAATCTTTGCATACAAGCAAATTCTTCCCAAATGCTGGCTGAGTCACACACCTCTCTTAGCTGACATGGGCCTACAGCTATCAGAGCCATCTCCCAGATGCTACAGCATCCTCAGGATATGATGGTGTAGCTCTTGCAGTTTTTCCTGCTTCAGAATTGCTGCTTCTTGGTGCTCAGAAGCCCTTATTGTACCTTGAGCAGCATTTCACCAAAAGCCATGTAAGTTTTTGCTCTGAGCAGTGCACATCAAAGACTTCACTATGAGGAAAGGTCTGGTTTGCTCCAGCTGTCTCCCTTTGCAGGAGCAGGGCAGCAGGATATGCTAAGCAACACCCTGAATGAATGAGCTGCTGGCACTGGCTGGTGTCTCAGCAGGCATTTCCTTTCAGCCTGCAGGTCTCCCAGGCTGCACTCACCTGCAGGCAGTGCACAGAGCAGCTGTCAGAAACAGGGGTTTGGAGAAATCCAGGTCTGCTCGCTGTGCTTCCGAGAGGCTGCACTCATACCTGGGGAACACAAGGGACACCTGAGCATTTGCCTCACAGGAAGCTCTCAAATCCATCTGTCACACCTTGAACAGGTCTGTTGGACCACCTGGGCCTCTGCAACCCAGTCAAGCAGAAACAGCTGCTACTGCTGAGAGAAGCAAAACACATGAAGGAAAAAATGAGGCTGGGATGACCTTCTCTTCTGGAATTAGAGGTATTTTAAACTGGGGATCTGGATCGAAGCATATCAGTAAAATCTACTTCTTGTGCTCCTGATCAACACAGCACTTTTAGCTCTCCCTAACATCTTAAAATTTACAGTGAGGTGCTTTCCAGGCATCCTACAATAGAAGGCAGCATTACAGTTTCTTTGATTCCTGGAATATGTATGTTACAGATAAATGGAAAATGACAAAGTAGATGCACAGCACTGAAAAATGTAATTTTTTATTGTCCACCTGCCCCAGGCTATTTTTTCCCAGTTTGTATTAAGTGCCACCAAGCAGGCACAGCCTTTGTGCACTGACCTAACAGCATTAAACCTGTGCTATCAGGATGACAGCACTGCAGAGCAGAGCTCTTCTGGGACTGCTCTACTTAAAGCAGCTCATACAGAATGGAACACTTTAGTTATCTCTACTGAATTTCCCCTGAAATGTTCTACCTGTTGGTGTTACAGGTAGAGTACTGTGCATTTTAGGAGATGTGTATCCCCAAAAGGGAGGATTTATTTCTACTAAGCATTACTTCTGAACTGTGCCATGATCAGCAGTTAAATGGATGACAGTGTGATGCTATGGGCAAATATAGAGATTAAGAGTCCTATATTTTTTTTACATTATTCCCAGCTGAAAAATTCCTAGTTGAACAATCAGTTGCTGAGATTCACAGACTAAATCTTTCTAACAGGTATTCTAAAAAGTGGCCCAGCTCATGGCTGGATTCTCAGTGCTGAGAACTCATCTCAGTGCTCCAATGAGGAGATATCTGGCCCTTCCAAACATCAAGCTCTTTACACACCTAAGGAGCTAAGAACCTTACTTGTGGTTCCCAGTGTGCCCACAAGAGCTTCCTCACCTCTGCAGGATCTCTGAAGCCATGTTCACTGCCTCTGAGCAGCAGAACTGCACAGCCAAGTCTCGCATCCCCAGCTTTTGGTTCACCCCTAGCAAACACTCCAAAGACTTCATGGAGCTCTGGTAGGTGGTCTTGTTCAAACCAGAGAGTTTAACACAATAGCTCTGTCAAGAAGACAAAGACAAGCCCCAAGAATTAGCAAGGGTCTTTTCTGAGATCTTAATCAGGCAACCAACACAAGCACTAAGTTCAGCTGCTACATTAAACAAATTTGTGCAGTGAATAATGTATGTTTTGACTGCACATAGATTATCCACATAGGAATGCCACATCTTTTAATGCAGTGATATTTTTAGGCTGTTTCACTGGAAGTGAGGTTTGACATTTCCACATATGACACGGCCTCTTCATTACTACAGGGTAATTAACGGCAAAATTACCAAAGTCTGGGTTGAAGACATGAGCAACACCTTCATGGAGTCAGGTTCACTTAAATCCTTCCCTGCTGTAAATGAACAATCAAATAGGTTGTACCAGGCATTATTTTGACAGCTCAGTGCTATTCACCTGGCAGAATTACAGGTGGAGGTTTACAGATACCCCTACAGTGAAAAGTTTCTTAGAGCAGCTGCTTTCTTCCCACAGTAAAAGAGACAGACCTTAAATTTAACATCCTTGTTGGTAATCTATTTGCTATTACAAGAGTTGAAATTAAATTGACATTATACCAAAGCAAGCTTAATTTGTGATGGGACTGTGATGGTGATCTCAATTTTCACTGTTTCAAACTGAACTAGGAATGGTCTAACACAGCAAACTGCAGGATTGAGAGCAAAGTTAGTTACTGTTTCCCATTCCTGCTCCCAACACACACCACAGAACAGTGATTCTGTGGAGTCAGGCGGAACGCACCGGCCAGCCAAGTCACACGCTCTGTCTTACTCTGTCAACTGGTTGTTTCATGAAACTCGCCGCCAGGTCCAGGCACATCACAGCACTGCTCGTCGCCGTCATCTGAGCCATTAACCCCGTGCACTTCACCTGCGACAGCCGCAGGTACTCCTCAGCTTTTCTGCAAAACACCCAGAACACAAAGCCCTCGTCAAAGCCACAGCTAGGAGACAGAACGTCCCACAGGACGGGACCCAGGGTTCCGCAGTGGGGCTGCAGCTCGGCCGCAGGGCCCGGGGCGCTGCCGGGGCACCGCCGCCCTTGCAGGGCTGCCGTGATGCTGTGCAGCGGCGGCAGCTTCGCACCGCAGGGCCGCCGGTGCTTCACCGAGCCCCGGGGCTCCAGCACCGCCGGCAGAGCTGGGTCGGGCCCCCGGCCGCACCTGAGCAGGGCGGGCTCGGCCAGGCCCAGCCGCGCCGCCATGGCCCGCACGGCCCCGCGCTCCATCGCCCGCCGCGCCTGCCGCGCGCGCCGCCCATTGGCCGCCCGCGCCGCCAATCACCGCCCGCTCCGCCAATGGGCGTGCAGCGCGGCGCTTCCTCGGCGCGGGCCAATGGGCGGTGCGCGGCGGCGGGGCGGGGCGGGGCGGCGCAGTCACATGACGGGGCGGCGCTGGCGGGGGCGGCGGCGGCGCGACCATGGTGAGGGCAGCGGCCGCGGGCGGCGCGGGGCCCCCGCCGCGGGCGGGCCGGGGACGGGGGACGGGCCCGGCCCGGGCAGCGCCCGGAGCGGCCACGCCGGGCCGGGCCGGGCCGGGCCGGGCCGGGCCGGGCCGGGCCGGGCCCGGGGCTGCAGCGGGCGCGGAGGCCGCGCGGTCCGGGCGGGCGGGGCTGCGGCGCGGGCCGGGCCCGCTGTGCCGGCGGCAGCGCTGCCCGCGGCCTGGGCCGGGTCCCCGCCGCGCCGCCCGCTCGCTCCTCGGGCCGCGGGGGAAGGCGGTGTTTTACCGGGAATCGCGGCCGTCCCGGCGGTCGGCTCCGCTCTCTTCGGCCGTGCTGCCCGCGTTAAACCCGGGCTTGTGGCATTGCCGGTTGTGTGAGCGTGTGCCGTGGCTGTCCGCTTTGCCTGCGCTCCGGTCCCTTCTAGCCCTCCAGGACCGCTGCCGTAGGCTTCCCGAGTAAAGTTCCTTTCTCTCCCGGCAGAAGAGGTGGTTGTGCATTGGTGGGCGCAGCTCCTTGGCGCTCTTTGCCGCAGATGTTGGAGATGTTGGTGTTTGTTATCAGGGAGGCGAGGGGCAGCCCCTTCTCCCAGGCAGTTAGCCGTACGACAGGAGGGCATGGCCTTAAGATGTGCCCGGGGGAGGTTCAGGTTGGACATTTGGAGGAATTCATTCACAAAGTGAATGTCTAGGGTGACTAGACATTGGAATGGACTCCCCCCGGAGGAGGTGGGGTCGCGGTCCCAGAAGGTGTTTAAGGAAAGACTGGACATTGGACATGGTACTCAATGCCATGGTCTGGCTGACAAGGTGGTGGTTGATCTTTCCAACCTCATTCATTCTGTGAAACCTGAAATTTTCACATGGAAATAATGTATACTGAGAAATACTTTTCAATCTTCAATGAAAATAAGGGGACAGGCAAGTTTCCTGCTAAAACCCAAATACCTTTAATTTGCCTTCAGTGGTGTGCAATATTCAATAAAATTTTAAGCAGCACTTGCTGTAACCACTGCAATGTGTAATTAGCCTAAGTGTGGCGTGTGAGCAGTACTAACAGTATATAGATAGTGGGACAGAAGATAACTGAATGCTTTATAAACAGGGGATTGCTCAGTTCTTAGGCTCTTGGAACAGACTTTTTTTAAAAGTTGTATTTATGTTGATCTCTGTATCTTTGAGGCTGGGCAAAACCTGAACTGTTACTTGAAAGGGGAATGTGAAATACTGAATTGGGTGAATGAGAAATGCTAAATCTATATAGCCACCAGTCTCTGTCCCCCACACAAATATTTTGTAATAGTCAATTATTCAGCAATGAAACTACTTTTCTTTGCCTGTCATTTCCACATGAACTGGCCAGACATTGTCTGGTCTCATGGCTTCTTTCTAAGAATAGCTGTTGTCAGGTGATTCAGAAAAAATAAAGTTACAGATGTTGAACATGGGATAATCACAGGTGTTAAACATGGGATAATTCCCTCTACCAAATTAGGCTCCCCTGTGATTTCCTGTGGCCGAGCTTGGTTTAAACCTTGAAGCTGAATGCATAAGTACCTTTAACATGACTTGTTTTAAGAGGGCTCTGGCTGCTTTTGATCATACCCTGAATAAAAAGTCCATCTCTTTAATACTTAATAGTGTCTTGTGGCTTCCTGTAGCAGTAAGCACCAGCTTCAACACGTGAAAAATGCTTTCATCTCTCTGAGCTCCTGTACTGTGAGATAGAAGTTCTGGAGCCTACAGTGTTGCAGAGAAATGCTTCCTGCATGGTATAAAATGTTTATGCTTTGGGTTTGTTTTTTTTGGGGGGGGAGTAGTTCCCTCAATATGCTAACCAGCAGGGCACTGTGTGCAGCCAGGCTTCAGCTGTAGGCTGGCAGTGCCTTGATGTGCTGCTGTAGCTCAGCCCTCCTGTGTCTGGGGCAGCGTGAAGTGTCTCAGCAGTGATGTGTTGGCAGTGGTGTCAGTAGCAATGGGAGGAGGCAGGAAAGCCTCCTTGGGTAAATGCCACTTGTGGTGTTCAGTAGAGGCAGTGAGCAAACAGGAGGAAGTGCCATGTGGAACAGGCTGTAAGCACATCAGTTAACTCAAGAAAAGGACTTGAGGAGATTAGATGAAAATGCACCTCAGAATGGAATGGAAGCACAACCATTATTAATACTCTGCATGCAGCTTGAGGCACCTGTGTGTCAGAACATGAGCTTTTAGACTTGACAAGCTCCCTGGAACTCTGCTCTCTTTCAGTACTGTGTCATTCTTGAGTACTCCAAGGTACCAGGTTTTTAAGTGAAATAAGTCAGCACATTGGTTATTATTTTGGGCCCTCTCTGGAGTGCAGCTCAGTGTCAAATACGGAACTAAAAATGAATCTATGGAGCTGGTGTTAGAAAATGAGTAAATCTTGCACAATAGGTGCAATATTTGGTTTGTATGTTCAGGAGGAATTGCTGTTATGAAGATAGTCATGATCTAGAATAATGTTTGCTGCTGCAGTAATGCACTTCCCTAATAGTTATCTGCAGGATAACTTGTATAACTATTCTGGTCAGCCAGTTTCAAGGTGTTTTGGGTTTAAAAAAATGGTTTTCCAAGGCAACTTACAGTTTAGTTTACTAGCCTTTATTAAAAAAAAAAAAAAGCCAAAAAAACAAAACTTGAAAGGAACGAAAAGTACACCAAAAAAACCCACACCAAAAGCTAGCTTTCCTCACCCCCTCCCCCCACCAAATTAATCTGCTGGGAGTTTTGGCTTCCATAACTTGCATGTTACCCTGTTAGCCCTGTGTTCAAAGCTAGCAAAAGGCTTTTGTCTCCTGTGCAGAAGCTGCTGGTACACCTGGGGAGGCAGTTCTCTGTCTTTTCTCCACTGCTTCTTGCTTCCTTGTTGCCTCAGAGGAGAAAATGAGTAGAGCAAAACTCTTCACATCAGCTGTCCGTTTTTCTACAACGTTGGCAGCGTATCTAGTGTGGGTATAGCTCAGACATTTCTAAAGTGTAAATAGCTGCATAATTGAAGCTATAAATTGCTTCTCTTGTGCTCAGGCAGGGGTTTGTACCTTATTATACATGTAGTTGACAAGGCATGATATTCTGTACTGCTGCTTTTGCCTGGGGTCAAAGTGTCTTCCTCTTCAAAAGCTGATGTTCAAGATTGTTTTTGTAGATGGACCTAGGACTCCACAGTTGCTTTTTTGATAAAATGACACTTGAAAAAACAGTCTTATGTTACTAGGTTGGTAATTTAAGTGTAAGATACAGAACAGAAACAGCTTTATTCGATATGGAATCTGACAGAACTGTGTTCCGATTCTGTGTGTGTCCTGCTGGGTGTCACTACTAGGCTTTTGCTCTATGTTCTCTTTCCTTCATTTGCCTTTTACCACCACATCCTCAAATTTCAGGCATTTGTTAGTAGGATATGTGTGTCTTGATGTGATCTTGTGTATCACTTGATAATAACCAGGTTATGTTTGGGAGCCCTTGCAGTTCTGGAGTTGAAAGCAGCTTGCCTTCTGAAGTTGGAAGAAAAGGGTAAGCTGATACATATTCAGACTTGAGAAAGTAAGAGTTGGAACTTGTTCACTCGTGCTGCTGTTAAGATGTTTTGTATTCCTGCAGAAATGAAGCTGCTACAAGCAGCCCCTCAAGTGACACAGCTGCTCCTGTGGTAGGCTTTTGACAGCAGTGGAGGTTATTGTGCTACCCGTGCCACAGTAGATGCTGCAGTTGTCTTTTCTTCAGACATGAAGTATAGTGCCCTTGTAGTAATTTAGTCTGATCACCTTCTCAGTCTTCAAATCAGCACACATACAAACTTTCCTCTCTTAATTCTCCTTATCTTGGAGAGATATGGAAGAAATAAATTAATATATTGTGTGAATATGAAAATGCTTCTGTTGATGAATTCAGTACTTAGTCCCAGTGTTGAATACAGTGTGGGACCTGGCTGTTCAAATTTAGAGCAGAAGTGGAAGTATTCTCTGTCTTCTGTTAGTGCAGACAGTTTGGTGTGCAGCTGACACTAAATGAATGGAGCTCCCAACTTTTTCCCAACTGCTGCTAAACTACAGTGGCTAAAGATCTCTAAGATACAAGTGTATCTGCTGGGCTCATAGCTGGTATCATGAAAAGGATAGTTCAGAATTTGTAGCTGTGATTCTACAACCAATGTGTTTGCACACCCAAAGTAAGGAAGCCAGTGCACATGGATTCAGCCAAATACTTCTTGGGGTTATATGTATATGTTTCAGTAATGCTTTGGCTTGGTGTTGCTGTTAAAAAACCTTCTTTTCACAGCCCTGCTTTTAGTGTTTTATGTGGCTCTAGGCTGAACTGGGTGAATGGTAATCTATTAATCAGCTGGGCTTGTCTTACAGATTTTTTGATGGTTTACAGCCTAAACTGCTCTCCCAGCACTGACTAGCCTTGTGAACAGCTGAGGATGGAAAAGCAGGGTTGGTGGCTGTGTAAACTTAATGCCCATCAGTGCAAAGGGGCTTAAGAAGTTGTGGTCACTGTTGATATTGCTGTATTGTTCCTAGCTGTGCTTTAATAGAGATTTGATATGGTCAGAGCATATGGCATTCAGCTCAATAGTGATTTATTTTCTCTAAAGCTCTGCTATGGATTCAGGGCACTGTTAAGTGTAACCAATGTTCTGGCATAGACATAATTCAAAAAGTCTGTTATGTGATGTTCTGATATTGATTACTGCACACTAGTCCCTGCACTGTAATTTTATGTTCCTTAAAAGTCTGATCTGCCATTGAATAATTGAAGCTTAGCAATTACAGCAAACTT